CAAACGTGCCGATGCGTTGAGATCGAGTGTACCCAGACAACAGGCTCTCCGAAAGTATTATGCACATAAAGCAAGATTATCTCCTTTGTGGGTAGAAAAAAAACCGATCGCATAATAAATAGGGAAATGCAATGTAGCCTGAGACGCGTATCGTTGGTCCAGGGGGTAACTGCTGACTGCTAAGCGTGTGATTGATTTAGTTTCCCATTAGCGATATTGTTCAACTTCGGCTGTTGAGAAGTGTTACTTGGCTCAATCCAATCGGGAATAAACAATGAAGTAACCAGAGGTCGCATCAATTGGTAAACTGACACTTTCTGGATTTGAAGGGCTGTAAAAAAACCTTACGCGCTTGAGTAGCTTTGATGTTTTTGTATCTTGGTGACACTGGGAGACTAAGGTTCTTTTAAAACCACTATCAAAACAGTACTTTACTCTTTAAATAAACGCCCCTCTTTAACTTTGACTTTACTACAATGCCTAACTGAGCCCAGTTCGGCACGAGATACTACAACATAGCAACCCGGAGAGCCCTATTGAGACTAATATCTGATGTTGCGTTCGGGCACAAGGTCTAACCAGTGAGTAGAGGCAAATTAATTGCGCTTCAGGGGAACATTTTTAATATAGGGTACTTGAAGCAAATAAAAGTAAAGATTGTTGTGGCGTTGAAAATGAATTAATTGTCCAAGAAGAGGCTCTGAGCAGTCCTTTTGTTGATCACTTACTGATTGAAACAGGGGGAAAATCATTGAGTAATGAAATCTGTAAACCTTTCGCGAGCTGATCAATAGGGGACACTTTCCAACATAGACGGGGTGTCTTTCTGATCACGTCTCACACAGTTGTTTTGCATTCAATTATTGATTCCCCCCTATACCGTCTCCTGAGATTTAATCCATTTTCCTCTCATAAGATCATGACTCGAGCACACAATGAAAGAGATTTCATGGTAGCTTACCTGGGGCACTGACTACGTGATCATGCCGAGCATATTCTCAGCATTTCATACTCTGAAACAGTTACCGATCTCTTTCCTTTATTCATTTTTTGGGGTCCTGTGTCCTATTTTTATGGGTGTCAGATGTTAGTTAAGTATACGACATGTTAAGTATTGGACATGGTTGTTAGACTTTGTTATGGCGAATAGACTCTTGAAATTTGCAGCTAATAATGCTGCTGTAATTGGCTCTCCTAAAGAAACATTTCAGCATACTATGTTTAGAAATGCTGCTGCTGCCGCCGCCGCCGCTGCAGCTGTTGCTGCTGCTGTTGATGATGATGATGATGATGATGATGATGATGATGATGATGATGATGATGATGATGATGATGATGATGATGATGATGTTTGTGGCGACGGTGGCCTTGTTGTGAATCTGTGTCTTTTTGTTGGGATGGTACATGTTTCTAGTCCAATTTTGCTGTAAAGAGCAGCTTCAAAGTAGCCCGGCTCCCAAATCATATTATGAATTGTGTAGATGTGGGTTTAAAACGATTATAATTCATGTCGTCGAACAAAATGCCCGTCAGTATCATGTTTCTTTGAAACATTTATTGTTACAGTTTTAGACCAATTACTCACAGGTAGATTTTCTTTTGGACTGATTTCAAGGCATCTTGCTAAACAGATCAATATGATACAGAATTGATTTTTTTTCTACAAAACTAAGAAAGTAGGAGGTGATTTATGTGATCAAATGGAGTGCCTAGCATCTTTTCTTGGAATATTCTCTTTCCACTTCAAACTGACTTTACTTTACTTTTATCAGCCGCTAATGAAGAGACGCCTCTCTGCCACCAGCCGGAGAGCTTGGGTCAGGGGGATGCCGCGAGTTGTTAAATGTTTCCCTGACTCCATCTATCCAGTTCTTTCTCGGTCGCCATCTAGCCTTGTTGCCATTGAATTTTTTTTAATGTAGGCACGTTGTGTTGGGTTGCGTATTGGTAATCGCATGAGATGTCCGAACCATTCCACGTCAAAACCATCTTAAATTTCAGTTGTTTCAACTTTCGTCAAATGAAAATTCACCCTAGAAGAGCGATTTATTCACCTGTCGTCTGATGATTCAGTGAGGTTTTAAAAAAAAATATTTTGAACTGGAATCACAACTTTTTATCTTGTTATTTGTAAACATCATAAATTTTCCACTGACCTTCACTTATTTTTTTTTCTTTTCATTTGCCCACGAAGGAAAGCGCTGATAAAGTTTCCATTTTCACGTGGAACATGCGTCAAGGTAGACTGCATTTAAAACAAGTCTAAAAACACATTCGAATGTTTAAAATAATTTTAGCTTGTTTGATTCTTCTTCCAAGTGTGATCAGCAGCCACAGCGTTAGTATTTTCTATGTATGTGTTCAGAACTTCATACATTACGGGTATATATTATTATGTATGTGAAAGGATTATTGAACAGTGAATGAGCCTATTTATATAAAACCTGTCATTGTGAAAGCTGTCAAAATGTTATATTTGTTGTGACATGCCTAGAGGCAC